TCATTTACTCCCGACATCTGAGCCGCTGAAGACGCAGTGGATTACATTGTTTCTGAAGGGAATGCTCCCCCGATCTACATAAATGCGTCTATGTTTGCGCGAATCATTCATGATCCAGCCTCATCTACAGAAGAAGTGAGTGTAATAGTGTTTTTGTAATAAATCTTTGCAAATGGCCTTTCCTAATAATGTGCTAATTAGCAAGTTTCACGATGAATGCGGCTGAAGTAAACAGTCTCTCTGAGAGCGGCTCGGAAGAGAGGGGCGGAGTCAGCAGAGCTCATTAACATTTAAAGGAAAATGCTACAAAACGGCTTGATCTGAAAAGAGCTGTTTTTGACAGGGTAAAAAAGGTGTTTTTTACACTACCATTGAGAAATTTTAACCAAACTATGTTACAGACTTTTCATTGAGACGCTAAAGAATCATATCAACTTGTGGAAAATGGGCATCCGATGACCCCTATAAAGCAAGACCCTTCAGGTGAATAGGGTAAAAATAGGGTACCATTCAAATGCATCTTATTTCCTCTCATTTCTCAGGGTTCTTGACTCCGACGTCCATGTTTACCTTCGTGGTGCTCATCATCACTATCGTGATCTGCCTGTCGCACGTGTGCTTCGGTCACTTCAAGTACCTCAGCGCACACAACTACAAGGTACGGGTTGCAGTACTGCAGGTACAGTCCACCGGGCGGCACAGGTAGCTCAGGTAGACTGTCCCCTGTCCCCGAGCAGAAAGCCTCACCTCAACCTCTCTGTCTTTACAGATCGACACCAAGGACACGGAGATCGACGGAGTGGAGAACGGACGTCCTGCTAGATCTTCACCATCCAACAAATCTCAGGTGAATTCCAGGGTTGCCAGGTTTTCACAAGAAAACCCACCCAATCGCTATTCAAAACTAGCCCAGTTGCGTTTCGAGGGGGGGTAAAAATACACGTTTTTTTGGTGGGGTTCCCCTGCTAAAATTCGGATTTCAGGGGATAAATATAATGTTATTGGAGTCGCTTCAACCCACGGACATGAAAAACAACCCGCGGCAACAGTGTTAAAGTAGCTCAATTCTGGGGGGAAACCACGGACTTGGCAACACTGGTGAATTCCCAAATATGACCCTGGAGCACAAAAGCAGTGTTAAGTCGCTGGGGGATATTTGTAGCAATAGCCAAAAATACATTGTATGGGTCAAAATTATAGATTTTTCTTTTATGCCAAAAATCATTAGGATATTACGTAAAGATCATGTTCCATGAAGATATTTTGTAAATTTCCTACCGTAAATGTATAAAAACTTAATTTTTGATTAGTAATATGCATTGCTAAGAACTTCATTTGGACAACTTTAAAGATGATTTTCTCAATATTTAGATTTTTTTACACCCTCAGATTCCAGATTTTCAAATAGTTGTATCTCGGCCAAATATTGTCCGATCCTAACAAACCATACATCAATGGAAAGCGTATTTATTCATTTATTATTTATTTTAAAAAATTGACCCTTGTGACTTTTTTAAAAATTGTGTCTGAATTATTACAAGCTTTATTATTGTTTTTGCATTACAGTAATGAAAATTTGGCTTGGGTAGAAATTGAAGTGCACAGTGCAAATAATCTTAATGGTCCTAAAACAGGCTTAACTTTGTGCAAAATATAATTTCATTTTCTTTTTTTTATTATTATTTCATATTTCTTTATTGTTGCGAAATATGATCTCTGTAAGATTAAAATCAAATCAAACGATCAAAGACAATCCTGTTTTCCATAACATGCATATGATCTTTTTATGACCGGTGTTTGACTCTTGTGCATCTGTTTTCAGCAGCAGATGTACATCGCCCAGGTCCTGCAGGACCCAAACTCTGACGAGACCGGAGCAGGCAGCGGAGAGTCCTCGCAGGACGAGGAGATGATCAACGCCGGGAACAGCCTGAACGAGGCCGACTTCCAGTCCGGAGAGGACAGTCTCATCGCCAACGAGGTCCACCAGTAACCACAGCCGAGACGGGAGGACACATGTCTGCTTGTCCCCGTCGAACGCTGTGAACCCAATTTACAGCACCTTAGAAACCCACGTCTGCCAAAACACTCAGACTGTACATAAGCACACGCTCCCAACGCTTACAAACCATTTTGCACATGTGCATGAACACACCGGCGACTGCTCGTTTGGAAGCTCAAAACCCAATCCAGTTGGAATCGGAATCACGTCAAGTGCAAGACTTCCCGGGTTTCCCTTTTAGAAAAAATTCCAAGTTTGGTAAAAAAAAAAAAAAAGAGCCTCAAGAAATGGAATAACGCATCACTTGATTGAATGAGAGTCCAAACAGCTGATAAAAGCATCACAATAATCCACAGCACTCCAGTCCATCAGTTAACATCTGGAGAAGCCAAAAGATGAAACAAATCCAGCATTAAGACATATTTTTAACTTCAAACCGTTTCTTCCAGCTAAAATACGAGTCCATAATCCATAATAACGCTTCCTCCATTCTGACGGCACCCATTCACTGCAGAGGATTCATTGGTGAGCAAGTGATGCAATGCTACATTTCTCCAAATCTGATGCAGAAACCAACTCATCTCGGATGGCCTGATTAAATTTTCAGCAAAATAGGTGAACTATTCCTTTAATCCATCAAAAACTGACAGAAATCCCAGTCTGAGAGGTTTCTACTGGAGCCAGTCATGTTTTAGAGTGGCATATTGTCAATATAAAACGGGAACCAGTTTGTTTTCTTGCAGAAAACGGATCTTTAAGGGATTAAACATGCGTGTCAACAACATGTACAGATCTGGTGTACAAACGTGTTTCATTTTGCAGTACATTACAGACCTTAGTTGGATGAAGGTACATGAATTTTTCTCATTCTTGAGACGCAAGCAGAACAAAGTGAGTGTAAATCATTTCAATCTAATAGCAAACAGTTTAGAGATTCACTGCTGGCGTTTCATGAAATAATTTGTTCTTGAGTGAAGTTAAGCACGACGTCTACCCCGACTGAGGTCTGTTATTATTATTATTATTATTACAGTATTTCATGTTTTCATACCTGCTGCTGCACATGATTCCTCAGCCTAAAATCACATTTTGCAGTAGTTTTTGTGACCCAAAAGGTCCGACCGACACTCCTGAAAGTGTTTCATCATGTCTGAAAATGAGCTGAAGGCAGATCTATAGTCTGATGTGTTTACTGGGAGTTTTGCACTGACGGTTTTAATTTTTGTCTAGTTTCTGAATCCTCAAAGTCATAAACTGGAGACTTTGTGCAAAAAAAAAAAAAAAGCTGTGATGAAGATGAATCTTAAGGAGGATCTGTTACCGGTTTGCATCATGAACGCGCAATATACTGGATTCAGCAAATAACTGGTACTAAAATGACTCAAAGTGACTTGAGAACTGAAATCGAACCACCTCGGGTGTTCTTTTATTTTCCAAACGATAAAAATGTTTACATCTGTGTGTTTCCTTGTTCGTCATCGGTCATTTTTACTTGTTTTCCTCTTCGATGAAGACACAAATGGTAACCTATGAAAGCTGTAGCTGTGTGCGTGGTTTGGTTTGAAGGAAATCGCTACACGCTGGAGATACTGACGTCAATTTGTGTCTTGGAGATCGTCGATGAGAAGCGGTGTGTGTGTGAATCTTCTGTGATGATATTGAAAAGCACGCTTTGTATATCCAAAGGAAGGTCATTTCTTCGTTTCTGGTTCTGTCCAGTGTTTAGGGCTCCCTCGCCGGCTTCTTATTGAGTTAGATATTTTTTCCAAAACAACAAACTTGTATATGAAATGGCCATTCTGTGTTTGATCTGATGCAGTTCTTTTGATATCTTAACCTTGTTTGATATAATATTGTGCAGTTTAGAGGTCAGTAGATGGTTGCAACAAACACCCTAATTTAAGAAAAACGTAATTTGTTCATCATTATAACTGTTTTCTTCATTTAAGTGGGTTTGTTGCAACCAGGACAAACACAATGATGGAGATCAGTGCAGAAATAAACCGTCTTTATTAATAACAAAGCATATAATATTTGGCACTTTGGTGTCTTGTCTTTCAGAGAATAATGTAGTGTAGAGGAAAAAAAGCTCACTATGGCACGAGGTAGAGTTGGTTGGTTCGTTTGTATGCGCTTAAAACTTCACGTTGATGTTTTTATATAAGTTAAACATAACATCATAATGCACGTCACCTTCATATAAAGCACTACGAATGTCCATCTGGCTATTAAAAAAGACTATAATACAATATTTGCTTTATATACATTTCTATGAAACTAAAGAGGTTTGAATAATATACAAATAGCATGTTGTTCTGTCTTAAATGTTGCTCTTGTGCAAATATATCTTTAAGGGAACTATGGTAAAAACTCCCAATCAGATGGAAGAAAGAGTTCCCATCCAAAAACTCATTATGACGTGAGTAAATAATGTCTTTGGGTGAGCTGTTAATTCAAAATATATTAAAACAAGTATTTCTTAAACAAAAACAATGGTTGTATTTATACACTATCATTCAAACTACTTGGGTCAGCAATATTTTTTAATGTTTCTGCTCACCAAGGCTGCATATATGATCAAAAATACTGAAAAAAATGAAATATTATTATAATTTAAAATAACTGTTTTCTATTTTAATAAATGTTCAAATGTAATTTATTTCTGTGATGCAGCGCTGCATTTTCAGCATCATTACTCCAGTCTTCAGTGTCACCTGATCCTTCAGAAATCATAATAATATGCTGATTTGCTGCTCAAGAAACATTTCTGATTATTATCAATGTTGAAAAACAGTTGTGCTGCTTTTTTTGTGGAAACTGTGATACATTTTGCTTGTCAGGTATCTTTAATGAATAGAAAGTTCAAAAGAACAGCATTTATTTGAAACCGAAATCTTTTGTAAAATTATAAATGTCTTTAATGTTACTTTTGATCAATTGAATGCATCCTTGCTGAATAAAAGTATAAAATTCTTTTAAAAAAAAAAATTTTACTGACCCCAAACTTTTGAACAGTGGTGTAGGCTTTAAGTTCTTTACATTATGTGCAATAAAATATAGTATTTAAGACTCAAAGCATCCAGCATCAGTGAATCTGTGTACTGTCCGCTCAAGATCAGGTCTTGATGTTGAAGTGACGCTGATGTGAGTTTGTCCTGTATGAAGGGTGGCTCTGGAGGATGTGAGAACAGCTGTAAGGCTCCTTCAGTCTCATCTCTGTCCAGAGCACTGTGTGTGTGTGTCCACCGAGACTTCAGATGAGCGCTCGAAACAGAAACGACAGAGACGCTCCGAGAGCCAGACCGAGAGACAGGAAGAAGGCCATGATCGTTCCAGCCGTCTCCGCCTCGCTCGCATCCACCTTCCTGTCCACAAAAACAACAGATACGCTCAGAGCTGATTGGATCTATTGTAAATTAATGTGTCTTAAAACAGTGGTTCAGAACCAAGGGCCTCAAAATGACTTAAAATGATTTAAAATAAGCTATTTTAATTCACCCCCCTCAAAAATTTTCCTTGAAGAACCTGGATTCACATGGGAGTCTCATGTGTGACCCTGGACCACAAAACCAGTCATAAGGGTCAATTTTTCGAAATTGAGATTTATACATCATCTGAAAGCTGAATAAATAAGCTGTCCATTGATGTATGGTTTGTTAGGATCGGACAATATTTGGCCGAGATACAACAGTTTGAAAATCTGGAATCTGAGGGTGCAAAAAAATCTAAATATTGAGAAAATCATCTTTAAAGTTGTTCAGATGAAGTTCTTAGCAATGCATATTACTAATCAAACATTAAGTTTTGATATATTTATGGTAGGAAATTTACAAAATATCTTCATGGAACATGATCTTTACTTAATATCCCAATGATTTTTGTTTAAAAAAAAAGTTATAATTGTGACCCATACAATGTATTGTTGGCTATTGCTACAAATATCCCCCAGAGACTTAACACTGCTTTTGTGCTCCAGGGTCACATTTTATAAGTGTGATTTCTAGTCATGGAAATTAATCAAATATTTTCCATAATGAATATAAATGTGTCTAGATATGCTGAGCTCTAAAAAAAAATGATCAGAGAGAAATTGAGTAAAAAGTTATTTTTAAACAAGTCCTTAAGGCAAGACAGTACTGATTTTAATTTTAACTAATAGATATCAACAGTACTTCCCCAGTTGATTAATCACAGTACATTAAGACAGTTTATTTTTGCAAGTTTTCTGAAATACTATGCAAATTATGCATTATCTAATTAAATATGCACTATTTTCATATATTTCCAGAAAATAAATCTGAACTTTAGATAAAGCCAGGTTCAAAATGTTTTGATTTTGTTGACATATTAAGAGTTAAAGCTTTTTATTGAGGGGCTTTTGGATTTCTCTTTTTTTATCACTCCATAAATAGTGAAAATACAATTATCAGCCAGAAAACAATCACCATGTTTTAGGAATAAAATGTTACAAATATATCAGAATTGTGAGTTATATCAACAAACCCTTCAGTAAAAACCCTCAGAATATAGATGGGAATAAAACTGTTAAGTCTGGTGTATTTAAGTGCTGCTGATGTGGAGGAAAAACTTTTAAAGATATGTAAAGTATTTGAAATCTACAGAGACGTAAATAGATCAAATGCAATAATAAAATCAAGCGAATGATATATGAACAACCCCTTCAGTAAAAACCTTCAGAATATAGATAGGAATAAAACTGTACATTTTGGTGTGTGTAAGTGTTACTGAAGTGGAGGAGAAAACTATTAGAAATATGTACTGTAATTGAAATATATAGACGCAAATAGATAAAGTGCAGTGATAAAATCAGTGTGAATGATATATGAACAAACCCTTCAGTAAAAACCTTCAGAATATAGATAGGAATAAAACTGTTAAGTCTGGTGTATTTAAGTGCTGCTGAAGTGCAGGAGAAAACTTTACAGCCTTTAAAGATATGTATTGTAATTTAAATCTACAGATGCAAATATATAAAGTGCAATATCATAAATACTTAGATGTGCATTTTGGATATTTCTTTTCACTAGTCTTAAAGAAAATATGAAAGCAAAAGACCCCAACATTTTATGCCTTAAAACTAATCTAGTAGATCTCAAACGACTGGAAATGTCATGCAAACTGACTGGTTACAAAGAGTGGGAATCCTTAAGAACATTCAACTTATAAAACTTCTGGAATTCTAACATTTTAAAATGTTGTTTACGTATTTTACGCTACTTAATTTAATTTATGGGCACTCCTTATTTTAAATCTATAAATTGATGAAAAATGTTGAGGACCACTGGTCTAACATTAATCACGTTGTTTTAGTATCATTAGGTTTTATAGGTTTTGTAAATATTTTGAATTAGATTTTATTTTCAATTTTAATGTTTTTGTAAATTTGCTGTGTGTTTTTGTCATTTTATTATTTGTTTTAATTAAGTCTACATGGTTTTTAGTAGTTTTTATTTCAGTTTTAGTTATTTTCATACTTCAAATTAAACTTATAACTAGCTGAAATAAAATAAGTTCAAGTTTTTTTATATTTTCAGTTAACATTTTATTTTTCATCAGGGTTATTATCATTTAGTTAATGATAATAACCCTGATGTGTCTTAGTAAATCAGGATTCTGTCAGTACTTTACTCACTTGGGTCCGAAGCACATGCACAGACTCGCCAGATATCCGTTAGAAAAAGCAAAGAGGATCATGAAGCCGAGGAACCAGCCGTCGTGTGAGAAGTAGACGGGCAGATTGTGGCGAGGCTTGACGTTACAGAGCATGAAGAGAGGGACAAAAATCACACGGGCCACTAACAGACCCGGCAGCAGCTTACTGTCTTTACCAGGCTGAGAGACAGAGACAGAGACAAAATAACACATGCATGAATAGCATAAAACTGTTTTACTATTGAATGCATTTGTGACCCTGGAGCGCAAAACCAGTCATAAGGGTTAATTTTTTTGAAATTGAGATTTATACATCATATGAAAGCTGAATAAATACGCTTTCCATTGATGTATGGTTTATTAGGATCGGAAAATATTTGGCTGAGATACAACTATTTGAAAATCTGGAATCTGAGGGTGCAAAAAAATCTAAATATTGAGAAAATCATCTTTAAAGTTGTCCAAATGAAGTTCTTAGCAATGCATATTACTAATCAAAAATTAAGTTTTGATATATTTAAAGTAGGACATTTACAAAATATCTTTATGGAACATGATCTTTACTTAATGTCCTAATGATTTTTGGCATAAAAGAAAAATTGATAATTTTGACCCATACAATGTATTTT